CCTCTCAAAACAAGAATGTCAAAAAGGGATGGGGGATGTCTGAAGGGACACTAGCCCATTCGAGCATGTGGCTTTGGCAGGCCTTGCCCTTCTCTCCCATTCTCTCTGCCTTGCTAAAAACCAATAGATTACATTCCTAAAGCTAGCCACCAAGGTCCATCCCCTTATTTGGCCACTTCCTCCTCCTGAGACTGACTACCAAGGCCCAGCTATTAAAGTGTTGAAGTTCAGCAATCAGAAGCCTCCTTTGTCTCACCTGATTAATGTGCCCAATTAAAACTAAACACCTCATTCTAACTCGGGGCTTCCTTTTTAAACCACCATGTGCCTCTGGGCTGTGTCTATCTTCTCTCTATCCAGAGGCACTCCTTTGTCCTTTGGGACAAATGCCCCTATCCCTTTCCCTTGTCCCCTTCCCCTTCTCCCTTGTCCTCTATCTCTTGTCTTTGTCTCTTATTCCCTGCCCTCTGTCCCTCTGGGGCAAATGAATCTTTGTGTTGAGTAACTTGGTCTTGAGGGTCCTGAACTGATACTGTTTGTTTCAATATCCACTGTGGGCTGTTCTAAAACTACAACCGAGTTTACAATTGGAGGGAGGGGTGGGGTACAGGGACTTGGGATGGCAGTTACAACATTGTCTGTCTGAAGTCCTCAAGCCTACATTCCTGAGTGAGTAACTTCTCTCATCAGACTCCCCAAGAAGAGGAGGAGAATAGGGAAATGGCCAGTTCTGTCACTTGTGTGTGATTGAGGCAGGATAGAAAGATAGGAAAAGTTAAAGGGACATTGGAAGGAAAGGAGCCCTTTAGGCTGGAATCTGACAAAAGCTTTTCACAGCTGATAGTCAACAATTGTCGAATAATTAATGTTTGCTACGAGAGTGGTCACTGTCATAAGAAACACTATTACTTTTTTAAAAATATCTATTCATTTATTTTATGTATATGAGTGCTCTGTCTTGATGCACAACAGAAGGAGGGATCTGATCCAATTGCAGATGGTTATGAGCCACCATGTGGTTGCTGGGAATTGAACTCAAGGACCTCTGGAAGAGCAGACAAGGGCTCTTAATAACTGAGCTATCTCTCCAGCTCCCACAATATCACTTTTATATAGAGCTGTTTCAAATGAGGATGTTAAATAGCAGCAACCTCGCGATTCACTGATGTATAGGCCTTCCTCACCCACAATCTTTTTAAGTATCTCATTGGAAACCCATACACAGTAAAAGACCTGTCTTAACCCATTGAGCAACCTTTGTGGCATTTCTGTTTTGCTTTAGATAGTCTCAACCCCGACTGGCCTCACAATCACTACACAGCCGACAATCATCCCATCATCTCAACTGGGAAAAAAGGGAGAGAAAGAGAGAAAAGGAGTTTCCTAGCAATTGTTTGGAATGTGGCTTGAGAGCCATTGAAATTTATACATGACTGCAGCTAAGATGCTGAAGCCTGTACCTATGCTTGGGCATGTCTTCTCCCGAGCATCTTTCCATCACTTCCTGTTCTGGAGCTGCACCTGTGTCAGAGTCTACATAGCTGACCAATTATGATAGTGGAGATCTGGGGTATTGCAGATCGGCAGCCAAGTTATCTTGAGCTATCTTTAGCACATCTCTGTGTTTGATCTAACAATATTAGATAAGTTCTTCTTGTGGGGTAATAGCCCACTGAGTCAGGCAGTAGCAGGCAATAGCCACTAGCCATAAAGAATAGCTTAGTACCGGCCTGATGGATCTGCTCCACACATGGAAATAATATGCCTGGGTGTGGAAAACCCACCCTGTTTCCAGTCAAACTCCCACATATATATCTATATCTATCTACATTATAACTATATTCATATATTTATATCTCTAGATATCTATTCTATCTATATCTATAATTATCTATGTATCTAATCTATATATCTATCATTATCTCTATAACTATATATTTATCTATAACTATATCTAATATATAACTATCTATATCTATCTGTCCCCAGCCCCTCCAAGTGTTCAGTCTTTATCCTACAGAAAGACTAAGGCCCCTCAATGTTCCAATAAAGCAGTTTTAGCCTGTTGAGATCCAGTCTGTCTGCATCTCTGTCTGCCTCATTTTTCTTACATCTGGTGCTGAGACCTGGGACCCTTTTAGGGTTCTCAGGACAGAGAGCCCTCCTTCTCCTTTCCCTGATGTTATTTCTACAGCAGCAGGAACCCCTATATTATAAGGCTCACTATGTAGGCTAAACAGCCACCAGTTCAACCTGACGCCTCTGGTCTTTTGTGGCCTCTGCCTCAATCAGTAGTGCACTCAGTTAATGCTTACTGAGTTAATCCTAAAGAGAGACACTTAGACTCCTGTTATGGGTGTGGATCAGGTTCTGGAGGCTACCCATGGGATTTCCATGTCTTTTCCATGAGGGTGGTTGACTGGCCACACATACTTTTGTGTGGCATGTCCTGATCCACCCTTGGCCTTGTTAGGCAAGTCCATCAGCACAGGGTTTTCTGGTGGGAGAGAAAGGCCTACAAAATCTTTGTTTCAAGCTGCCAGGCTTCTGTCTCAAGTCAGGAGGGTGAGGAGGAAGTCCACCCTCTTGGAAGTTTACAACCTTTATTACCTGGCCACAGCCCCTGTCCCTATCTGTCTGCCTACCAGGAGTCTATCTAAGCCCAGTCTTTCATTTTTCTCTGTCTGTTGCATGTGTTTCCTCACCTCTAACAAACACCTTTGTTGAACTGTTGATTCTTTGTGCACTGTTTGAGATTTCTCTGCTGCTACCTTTTATGTACAAGATCTCTCCTGCCTTTAAAATTCTCTCTTTTTTAAATGATTCATTTATTTTTATTTTATGTGCCTTGGTGTTTTGCCTGCATGTATGTCTGTGTGAGGGTGTCAGATCTTGGAATTATAGACAGTTGTTAGTTAGCTGTCATGTAAATGTTGGGAATTGAACCTGGGTGGGTCCTCTGGAAGAGCAGTCACTGCTCTTAATGGCTGAGCCATCTCTCCAGGCCATCCTTTTAATTCTTTAGCTGGTAGAGAAAATAAACCCAATTAAGACCCCTAGACTGCATCACCAGGATCACCTACCTGTTCAGGAATCCTTATGGAGGCACTTTCTAAATTAAGATTCTTCCCAGATGTCTCTAGCTGACATAAAGCTAGCCAGCACAGGGTTTTTGCATAGGCTATTCCTCCTCCTACCTATATTACCCAGAGGCTCACACATTCCTGGCAAGTCTGGATCCACCAACCAAGCCCAGAGGGACCTGGCCATGTAATGTAACTGGCCCTGAGGCCTAACTGGCTCTATAGACCAGCCTGGCCTCGAACTCAGAGATCTGCCTGTCTCTGCCTCCTGAGTGCTGGGATTAAAGATGTGCACCACCAACGCTTGTTGAGGCCCAGGTCTCAACCCAGCTTACTTGGACTGTATGCTGCCTTTTCACTCTGGTCTTGTGTGCAGCTGTTGTGCAGTTTCAGAATTTGGTACTAAAAATACTTTGTGGGTTAGAAGGGCCAACAAGGGATCTAGCTACTTGTGGGTGGGGCTAGTTAGGGCTCTGGTGGAGGCTCACTTACCATGTTGGAAGGGGTAGGTCCTGTACACTCAAACACTGAGAAAGGGAAGCCCTCTAATACACAGGAGGGACTTCAGGGAGTGGGGACATTGCCATCACCTCCGTTTCTTCACAGGGCCCCAGAATAAGTGGTCGTGTGGTGAACATCTATTATTTCATCTATTTGGGAGGAAGGTGGGGGGGCCTAGTATGAACCCAGGAATTTAAGGGTGGCCAGCACTGCTTTTGTCCCTATGTCCCTAGGACTTGGGGTTTCGAGAGCTTTCCCTTACCAATAGCTCTCCAGGTAGAGAGTTATTGAACGGGCCAGAGGTGTCTGCTTCAAGCAGTCCAAGAGCGCAAGCCTAGAACCTGCCTCTGCCTCCAGAGTGTCGGGATTAAAGTCATATGACATTATGTCTGGCAAAAGTAGCTCTTTAAGTTCTTCTGGGTAGACTTGCTAAGGGTTACATAGTAATTCTATGTTTTAAGCTTTATTTAAATAAAATGAAATGATTATTATTTTGGTTTTCTGAGATAGGATTTTGTTATGTAGCTCAGGTAGCATGACATAGAACTCACTATTCTGCCTCCAGTTTCTTAGTGATGGGGTTTTAGGCCCATTCGTAATTTTACATTCATTTATTTAGAGACAGGATTTCACTATGTAACCCTGGCTGGCCTGGGACTTTCTATGTTGATAAGACTGGCCTGGAACACACAGAGATCTGCCTGCCTCTGCCTTTAAAGTGCTCGGAATTAAGGCATACAACAACACATCCAATGACTGTTCCACTGTAAATACTAGCTTTACTGTTTCCCATAGTGGCTATGGAAATCTAAATCTGACATGACAGCACTTGTTACTGCTTTGTTTGTATAACCTCCTACTGAGCACAGGCGCTGCCTAGACAGAACTAGGTCACTGTAGTACTGATCTGACTGGACCATGATGGACAGTGTCTTAGCGACAGGATTCCCAGCATTTATCAGAATATCCAACACACAGTAAGTCCTCAATGAATGGTTGATTAATGACGTTTCTCTCTTCTACCAAAATTTCAAGTCCCTTTCTAGTCTGCACTTTTGCTGCAGCCTGGCTTAGAACCCTTGGCCGGGTCCTCCCCACAGCACACATCCAGAAAGATCACCACAGGAGCCCGTACATGTTAGCTGGACTCTGGAACTTTTTAGGGGCCTGTGGGTGAAGTGGGCCTGGGTTCTCAGAAGCTAAAGGGGGCGTCACTAGCAAACCTGTAAAGGGTCTGAGGCTGGCCCAGCATCTCGGGCCTCCCCCTTGCGGATCTCTTTGCGCCTCTTTTCATAGCGCCGCCCCCACGGCGATCTCGTGGGCTCTTGCTATTGGTCCTTCTCTAGATGCTGTCAAACGACAATTTCTGATTGGCCACAAAACCTCCCACGCCTCCATAGCAGCCACAACAACCGCCATGTGCTCTACCGTGGGACTTCCTCATTGGCCAGCCGTCTCCATACACCTAGACTTCCCGCTTCCTCTTCCCATTGGCTTTCCAGTCCCAGACTCGGCTCACCCGACGCTGATTGGCCACCGGGCAGTGAGGCGGGGCTTGGGCGGGTTAAGAGCGCGGCGCTGACCGCGCGCGCGCCTAGCATTTTCAATGGCCGGGCAGGGGCTGGCGGCGGGCTTCCTGCAGGTGCCCACGGTGACGCGAGCCTACACCGCGGCCTGCGTCCTTACCACCGCTGCAGTGGTGAGCGGAACGGCGGGAGGGCGGGCGGGCGGGCCTGGAGGCGCCATGGTTACAGACCCTGGCCCGCCAGAGGGGGTTAGGGAGGTCGCCGGTCTCTGGCGTCTTACACGTCTCCCCATCCTGCAGCAGCTGGAACTCCTCAGCCCCTTCCAGCTCTACTTCAACCCGCACCTGGTGTTCCGGAAATTCCAGGTGAGGTGGCCCTGGCTCTGGCACCTGTCAGCCAGGCTCTGGCCCTCCAGCCCCGGGCCTCACCGCCACCCCCACCTCTTTGCAGGTTTGGAGGCTCATCACTACCTTCCTCTTCTTTGGGCCACTGGGATTCGGCTTCTTCTTCAACATGCTCTTCGTGTATCCTGGGCCACGGGGGTGGGGTGGTGAGGTCGGGCTGGGGGGGGGTGTGTTGGGCTCGGAGTGGGGAAACTGAGGCCCAGTCGACGTGGCACTTCCTATACCAGTGTTGCAGGTTCCGCTACTGCCGCATGCTGGAGGAGGGTTCCTTCCGGGGTCGCAAGGCCGACTTCGTCTTCATGTTTCTCTTTGGTGGTGTTCTTATGACTGTATCCTTCCTGTAGGCTCAGTATTATTGGGCCAGGGGACACCTCCGTCTAGCCTGCCGTGACTCTGGGGTCTGACATGAAGTGCCCAGGCCAGGAGGGACAAACTTTCAGGGCCTAGCAGCTCTGTAGCCTAGATGCTCCAGCTAAGATCTTCAGTGTCCCTGCAGAGCACAACAGGGAGATAACAGGATAGACTGGTAGATTACAGGGACTCTGAAACATGAATGCAAGAGCCAAAAGAAACGAGCAGGTATAGGGGTTGATGGAGACTGGGTACCTGGAAGCCGCAGACAGGGCTTCTTGATATGGAATAGACCAGGGATATGAGGGAATCCGGTTAAAGAGTCTGAGAGGCACTGTGGGCAGCAGATGGCTCACTCCAGAGCGCCTTGACTCTGACCCAGCTGCTGGGATTCCTGGGCAGCCTCTTTTTCCTGGGACAGGCCCTCATGGCCATGCTGGTCTATGTGTGGAGCCGGCGCAGTCCTCATGTGAGGGTCAACTTCTTTGGCTTACTCAACTTCCAGGCTCCATTCCTGCCCTGGGCCCTCATGGGCTTCTCGATGCTGCTGGGCAACTCAGTCCTCACAGACCTGCTAGGTGAGCCTTGCCCACCCTTCCCACTCACCCCAGGGCAGCTGGGACACACACATCCCTTCCCCCTGCACCAGGCCCCTCTCCCACAAACATCCCAAACTCCTCCTGTCCCAACTCCTGTTCTGTCCTTAAAGCCCTTCAAGCAATCCAGCTGGCCACAGGATTTGCATCTGTGGTTCACCTGCAGATATTAGCATGGGTCCTGCCTGGCCATGGTTAGTTTCTGCTTCCTGGCTGCTAATCACACAGTATTCTCAGGCCCCTAGTCCCTCCCCCCCCCCCCCCTTTATGCCTTTCAAAGCCAGTTCTGATCTTACCCTGAGCTGGCAGATAATGGGACTTGTGCTCTGGAACCTGGGGTTATCCTGAGCTGTGACAGATGGCTCTGCCAGCCTTTGCATTTCTTTCAGGGATTGTTGTGGGTCACATCTACTACTTCCTAGAAGATGTCTTTCCCAACCAGCCTGGAGGCAAGAGACTGCTGCTGACCCCCAACTTCCTGTGAGTATTGGACAACTGTTTTCCCTCCCTCAGGAGGTAGTCTACCTACTCCAGGGGGGAACTTGTGTTTACCACAGCTCAGTATAATTGTCCCATCCCCACAGGAAGCTACTACTAGACGACCCTCAGGAGGACCCCAATTACCTGCCCCTTCCAGAAGAGCAACCAGAGCCCTAACTGCAGCTCTTGGAGCAGTAAGCCTACCTGGTCAGCCTGAGGCTTCTGGCAGGGCTCTACCTTCTACAGCCAAACAACCCATCTAGAAGGCTGGTCCCAACGATGGGTGCCTCAGCCAGCAACACCCTCCACTCCTCTGTACCATCTCTCTGCTCACTGTAGGTGGTAGGACATGGGGCCCAGAGTGGTTGACTGCCTACGGATGCCTAGCAGAGCTCTAACTCACCAACTACAGACCCACAGTTCTCATTTTCATGCTGCCAGTGCCTTGAAGGAGCACCGGAACATGTCCTAAGCATCCACGATCATGCCCAGCCTACAGGTACCCTGGCTGCGGTACCTGTGGGCAATGCCCATCCTCCTAGGTTCTGTCCTCCTTTAAAGCAGGTCTTCATGGTCTTCTCTGGGCTCAGATGCAAAGAACAAGTTTGGTCCTCTACTGCTCTGGGAGCCCAGAACCTGAGCTCCATGTTACTAGCACCCTGTGTATAGAGGAAGTTCTGGGACATTCTGTTTGCTGAAGGCCTGAGAGTCCTTCCTACCCGCATCTCCTCTGAACCGAGGATGTCAATGTGGCCAGTTTTCCTTGATGCTCTACATGTGCCCCACTGGGGTTTACTCCTTATGCCCAAGAGCATGGGAGTTCCCCAAACCACTGCCTATTGTTTCTATGGTAACAAAAATGTTTTCTACTGAGTCTGATTCAATTTTGTAGTGAAACCTGGTGGAGCCAAAGCTGTGTTGCTGTGTGGAGTGGAGAAGTTTACAGCAGGCAGGGTCTAGGGGTATGGGGGGGAGGGGCGGGCCACTCCTTAGGAATGACCCACTAAGAGACAGCAGCAGACTGTAGCTGGGGTGCTGGGATCACTATCTTTAATCATAACCTGTATGCCCAGTTTGCTTGGTTTGTGCAGACCCATAAGCCACCTTAATGGGTCCTATGTCCATCCTATACTATACCACACACCAAGGACAAAGGGAATGAGTAGCTTATGGAAAGCACAGCTTGGGGGGGGGTGGAGGTGGGAGGGCAGAGGGCTGTACCTCTTCTCCACATACTGCCAACTTACAAGGATGGTGCACAGCTGGTGTATTCTTTCTCTATCCCTCACTTTGGGCTGGGGATGGAGAAGCTGGCCCAGGCCACAGTGGAGATGAACTTAGATAACCTTTTTTGGGTTGCAGAACTTTGATACAGAAGACTTCCTGTACTAGTGATGCCACTGTCCAGGTGCTACCCACATGTGACCAAGTCCTCTAAAAGGGATACCAGAGCAAGGTCCCCTCCAGCTGGCAACAGCCTGTCTGGATACAGCAGGACCAAGGCCAACAAAGGAAGCTCTGACACACTCCTGTCAACCTCTACAAAGACTTGCTGAGCACAGAGGGTCACAGGGAAGCTGGAAGACACAAGAAGGAACAATGACTGGGCTCTGCTTTGGGGTCCTCGTGGCTGGTGTGGAGACCCAGTGGTCACCATTTGCTGACTTGAGGATTTGAGGGTGAGAAAGGAAGGACTGGCACATCAACCTTGGCCACACACCCCTCCCATCCACACAGGTTCTACCTCCGCTCACATTTTTATGCTATCAATACCAAAGAAACTGAGCTTGCTAGTTTTTATTTAAAAAGTGTTACTAGCCCTGTGTGGGGCTCCTATACAAAAACAAAACACAACCCAAATGAGGCTGCTTCCTGACTCTAGACTTTGGGGATGGTGCTGGGGCTTAGCAAATGGAATGTGTGCTGAAGGAAGGCACCTGGGAGGCCCTACCCCATTCCTCAGGATGGCACCAGCTGTCCCTTTGCCTCTCTTTACCAGAGGAAGGAAAGGCAGTCTTTTGAGATGCTCCGTGGAAGTTGAGCATGGATGACTTCATCACCAGGCTGGGGCAGTGTTGGCAAGACGCCTCATTCGCCTGGAATAGGAGAACAGATGGTCAGCTGGGGCCGGCCACAGGTCTGGGTGGCTACCCTCCTAGGTATGTTACTTTCCTAGAGTAGCTAGGTGTGGGGCCCATCTAGAAGGAATGGTCTCTAGCCTTTTCTTGACCTTGCGAGTCTGCTGCACAGGTCCTGTTTATAGAAACCCTGAGACCTGCTAAAGGATGTTGTTTTCTTCAAGGAAATGTACCTTGGGGCCTGATTCTCCCCCCCCCCCCCCGAAACTGCCTCTGCTAGGGAAGGTAGGTGCCTGTGGTGTACCTTGTGTTCCGATCTTGATCCCGGATTTTCTTCTCCATCTCAGCATCGGTCAGGGTCTCCAGCAGGGGGCACCACTGGTCAGCATCTCCGGTATTTCGGATGGCAATCTCCACTGTGGGAAGTGGGTTCTCACTGAGGGAAGGGAACAAGGAGAGGAACAAGAGCTAGTTAACAGAATGGCAGCTCAGAAGCCCCCCAGAAACCACTGGTTTCTACTCTGCTGTCTCTTAGGAGATGGCCAGGGCACAGCAGGAAGGCCCACCTCCTTGTCCCAGCAGCAATGCTGGGGCAGCTGGGGGATGACTTTTGCCAGGACCTGTCCAGCAGGAACAGTACTACCTCCAGCCTGGACAGCCTCCCTTCAGAACCAATTCTCAATAAGAACCAAGGATCTGCTGGCTATGGAGGTAGTTTTTTTTGGAAAGAATAGCATCTCAGGTTCAAGCCTTTTGCCAAACAGACACAATGGTGGGAACAAAATGGGATGAAGGCTATGAGGGTACAAGTACTGGGGGGGGGGGGGGTGGCTGTACCACTCTGCACCTTGGTTTCCAAGTTGGTGAGGAAGCTAAGGAGGTATCCAATATATTACATACAGCTAACCCTATCCTGGCAGGAAGCCTCACATCACGGTTCTAACCAGGTCCTCTCCTCCCTCAACTGTCACACTGGCCTTCCAGCAAGGCAGCCTCTCTGTCACCTGAGGCCAAACTCCCTACTCTACCTACAGTCCTAATCAAGTGTGTGCCTACCTGCTGTCCTGCAGTATCTTATCAGCTCTGAGAAAGGAGGAGGCAGAGGCCAGGTGGTACTTGGCAGATGAAAATGGGCTTTTTCAGTCTTTGTCTAAAATACAGGAGCAGAGTTTACTATCTGGAGGCAGCCAACATTCATTGCAGAGGCCTCTTCAGAGCCAGACAGGTCCTTACACAGCCTTTCAGGCTTCAGGGATGTGGCCTTCATAAAAGCAAGACCCTACACCAGATTCGACAGCAGAGTTGCACCAAGTTAGTACAGGCCAAACCTCACAGCTGACAGCTCACCGTAGTCCAACTCAGAAAGGCTGGGCTAGAGCCAACTCTTGGCACAAGGGTTTCAGGGACCTTGAGCCTGGATCAAGGCCAAAGTATGGGTGAAGCTGGTTCCAAGGACCAGGGATACCGTGGCTCCTTGGCTGACACAGGTCTGACATACTACTGAACCTCAGCTGACAATATCCATACCCACAGGCCCCACACAACCTGGAAGTCCAAACTCCTGCTAGTGACTCAGAGGCCAGGGACCAGTCATCCCCAACCCTGTGGTCCCAGAGCCAGCCTCTTCTCAGCAGCCTCATTTGGAAATCCAGGAACAGCCCTGGCAGACTCATCCTTCATCTATCTTCAGGTCATCTCCCTTGGGAGGGCAGACTTGAAAGGCGCCAAGCACAGGCAGAAGGAAGCAAACATGTTTTTCTCTGAGCTGGCAAACAGGCCCCTTTGTTTACCTCCCCTTGACACTGGGAAGATTTCATACCATGGGTTTGTTCATAAATAGAACTACCAAGGCTGACCATGGAAGGATGGGTGCAGAGCCAACACTAGCTGCCTCAGCTTTGTGGAGACATGGAAGCAGAGATGCTGCCCTGAGTCCCAAGTCTGTAAGCCAGCATCCATTCTTCCAAGGGAATTCCTACTCATGAACTTTGAGGTCAGGAAGGATCCTGGACACTCTCCTACCATACAAATCACTGTGTAAGGGTGTTAGAAGACAACAGTGAGAGGAAAGACTGATGCTAATGGGGCATATTTGAGTTTATTTTTGATGTAAGGTTTTTTTTTTAAGATTTATTTATTATATATACTGTTTTGCCTACATGTATACCCTCACACCAGAAGAGGGCACCGTATCTCATTATAGATGGTTGTGAGCCACCATGTGGTTGCTGGGAATTGAATTCAGGACCTCTGGAAGAGCAGCCTGTGCTCTTAACCTCTGAGCCATCTCTCCAGCCCTTTATTGTTGTTTTTTAAGACAGAATTTTCTATGTGTAGTCCTGGCTGTCCTAGAACTCATTATGTAGACTAGGTTGACCTCAAATTCAGAGATCTACATGCCTCTGCCTCTCAAATGCTGCAATTAAAGGTGTGCACCACCATGCCAGCCCTGGTTTTCTGTGACGTACAGGCAAGCTAAGAATTAGTTACCATTCTCCCTCTATAAAGAAGAGAATGAAGACATAAGAAAGAAATGACCTGCCTAAGGCTGCTTAACTGGAGGAGAGGAGACCAAATTCAACACTCACCCTAATGTCTGCAAGCCTCAGCTGCCATGCCCCTTAGGAAAGGGCAATCTGCAGGCAAGCTGCTGATACAATATATCTCTGCATTAGCCAATGCTTCCTGACATGTGATACAAACACCTAAGTATATGTTTGCATACATGTGTGTTATCGACTAAGTAAAACAACCAGATGAACTGGACTGTTATTTCATCAAAATAACAACTTAGTGCTGCAAAGGATACTAACAGAAAAAAAAATATTTATAAATCTTACATACTAAACAATGTGTATCCAGATTATATGGAGAATTCTTTCAAATCAAGAAAAACCAGTTAAAAATACAGGCCAGTGAGAGGGCTCAGTGTGAGGTCCCAAGCTCCCACAAGTGGAAAGAACAGACTCCTAAATTTGTCTGACCGCCACACATGTACACCCGAGGCTGGGGTGAGGTGAATGACCTCACAAACACAGAGCCAATAATCACCAAAAAGATACTCACTAGGAAACACAACTCCAGCCTATAATCACTTGTCACTCACCAGAAAAGCTAATCAGAACAGCAAGATAAGCCCTGGCTTGGGTGCAGAGCTCAGACCCACAGCTCTGATGGGTTCTGAAGGATGCTGCAGCCACCGGAAAAACAGCTTAGCAGTTCCTCAAATGCCAAGTGTGACAGCTCATCATATAATACAGGCTTATAGGAGGCTGGGTCAGGACGATTGCCATGAACTATATATTCGAGGCTAGCCTAAGCTACAAAGCCAAGATCCTGTCTCCATAAAACAAAAGTTAACCAGTTACCATATAATCCAGAAATACTATTACTAGATAGAGCCAAGAGAACTGACGAGTGTTTAAACACAAACAATACAAATGCCCTTAGTATTATTTACTATAGCCAAAAAGTAGAAGCAACCCACAACAGAATGGATTAGTCAGATGTATATATTTAACCAATGGAATATTATTCAGCTATAAGACTGGAGTTCTGATAATGTTTTAACATCAATGACCCCTGAACACATTATTCTAAGTTAGTCGTCATAAGTCTGTCCCTCTTTTAGGCTCAGCTGCCAAGCCCTCTGACCAAGTATACCTTTACCTCTCTGCCCAGCACATGATCCTGGCAGGGCTGTGGGTATAAGCAGCCTTATGGGTCAGACACTAATGACCTGAGCTCTACAAAGAGCTTGGAGAGGGCATTCAAACATCTCCTTTGCCCTTCCTGCCCCAA